CACGTTTTCAGACAACGCGAAATGAGCTTCACTCACGTCGGGCCCGAACGCAGAACGTCAACTTGTTTCCCGCCAGTCATGCGCAGTGGACCTTTTGACTTTTCCCTGATCTTATGGCGCTCCCGTTGCCGTCCGCGTTGTCGTTGCTTAAAGTCCCTATAAATGATGGAGTACGCAAAAGTTTACACACGCCTCGTTTTCCACACTCAGCATGGACATTACATGGAATATCCATCTGATGGAAACTGAAATGGAAAATTGAAGTTTTCTACACATTTTCTACACTCCGCACTTTCCACACTCCGCATTTTCCATACTCCGCACTTTCCACACTCCGCACTTTCCACACTCCTCACTTTCCATACTCCGCATCTTCCACACTCCTCATTTTCTACACTCCGCACTTTCTACACCCCGCACACCGCGCTCCGCACTCCGCGTATTCCACCGAACCATGATCCGGCCAGCAAAGCCGAACACAGATTTGTCAAAAGAGACCTTTTGTTTCTTTTTCCTGTCCACCAACTTCAGAACTAACAGTACACGGCTGGCGTTTTCAGTCTTAGTCCGTGTTGGGGAAACTAACCAAAGTGATTGCAAGCCAGGCGTTACTGGGAAAGGTTTGAGAGAAAAAATAGAGCGTGATAAGAGCTGGTAAACTCTGTACAATCTTTCTCAACAACGCCATTTTTCTTCCAACCTATCCTGTTCCAACAAGATCCTGAGAAAACTGGGAGGCATCTGGTCGCGGTGTTTCACCATGGAGAGATCATGACCTCTTACGTGACGAAGCGTTTCGACGTGGCTTCAAAATGGCGGTCGGCGAGTTCTTCTTTACTCCGTTGGTCCTCTTCATCGTTCCAAAATACTGCCACGATGAATTCTTTGTCAACTTTAACTTCTTTCACGGTATTTAAAACATCGGATTCACAAATCTCTGTTTGAATTTCGTTTTTGAAACGCCATTTATTTAGCATTACTTATGAATGATTTTCGAATTGACCTCTGATTGATTGTTAGACGGGATCACTGTATTTGATTATTGCTACGTTTTTGTTAAGGAGATAGTGTTTATATTCATATTGCAGTTCCTTGTCTGAAGATTGCAATTAGCAAAACTTTAGGCTATGGCATTGTCGTTGGATCAGCAATGAGTGAGTTAAAAAAAATATTTGTTCAAACTTCTGATCATGCATGCATTGATCTGATCTTTTGTGTAAATGTCATCGGCTACCCCCGGGTTTGATCCCCAGACTATGTGTTGGGACGAACAAGAAGATTACGTGTGTAGGGGACAAATTTATTTTAGACTTTTGAAGAGCAGTGGAGGGAACTTGGAAGACTGTTTGATGAGATTCAAAGGTGCCCAGGGTTCTCAATAATTTAGGGAGCAGAGGGCTTGTTTCCCGAAGTAGACGGCTGATGCCAGTTGGAGTGCTAAAGGGACAAGCCTCTGGGGAGGTCTGGGGGCATGCTTCCCCAGAAAGTTTTAAATTGAGAGGCTCTGAAAGGCTATTTTACCCATTCTCTTGGAGAAATTTCCTAAAAAAGTTTCAATTTTGTAAAAGGTCAAAATGCCAAGAATATATTAAGGGTGCAAAGACTTTTTTCAATTTCTATCCTACAGCACTGGTGTAATTGAAAACATACACAACACCCTGGTCCCATGCCCCCTCTCTAGCTACAGCCTTGGTTATGCTGAGACAGACAGTCAAGGTTCAGTTGTGTTTCCAAAAACTTGTGTTTTCCCTAAATTACTCTTTACAATTTACACACGTATTATTTAAGAAATAGAAAACATGTGCTGTGTTTCTATCAAGTTACAGAAATATGAGTGGAAGTCTGGGAGAACGAGAAATGCTGTGGGAACACGAGCTGCAGGCGAGTGTTTCCACAGCTTTTTTGAGTTCTGCCAGACTTACAAGTGTTTCTATTAAACAATTAGATTATGAGCTTGAGATTTCTCTCGCATGATAGTTTTAGCACAAATCTATTAGTCGTTCAAAACTTGATCTAAACCCTCTTCACAGACACTTTGAAAACACCAAGAAATGGCTGTCATTTTGTTAACAAGGGCATGCTGCTGTGCTACTTACTATCTACCACAGAATAGATAGTGAGTAGCTTAGCCAATCAGAGAACGGCATTTGTGATAGAATGCTAGTTTATTTATACTAAAACTTGATAGAAACTCAGAGAGCATGTTTTCTATTTCTTTTAGAAAACACCACGATGAAAAAAAGGAAAACACCTTGTTAACTTTGATTATCAAAATGTAAATTCTCTTTGCTCGCGCCATCATTACGTCAACAGCTTGTGCTAGTTCTGTGTTTCTATCGAGTTGTAGAAACATGATTTTTAACCAATCAGTGTGCGTATATTCTTAGGACTCTTTTCTAATTCACAAATAGTAGGCGTCTCAGAAATTGAAGAAGCTGGTTTTTTTAGCTGGTGGCCAACACCTAATGAGAACCCTGGGTACTTTGTATTGCTTGAAGAAGAAAAAGTTGCCTAGGGTATTTTACCTTGTAAGATTCTCCTGTCGCTGACAAAAATCATAAGTGCTGCCCCACTCTTACTACAATCTCCCTCCCCCAACCTGGTTGGTCATGGTTGTCTAGAGGGTAAGCTGGTGATATTTAAGCATTACCCAGGGGAACTTGAGTTGCACCTGATTTCCCAGTGTCCCAGACTGTGAGGCAAATCAATAAGTTTACTCATATGCGATATACAACCTGGGATTTTTAAGAATCATTCTATGAGTGTACGTTGGATATGAAATGGTAGAGCACCAACGAGGTGCAAAGCACTGAGGTGGTGATGATTATCTGATATCCAACAAGTGCAAGTGGAATCATTGTTTTATTAAAAATGTGCCCAAAATATAGAAACTAAAATAAAATAAAAATAAAAACGCCTTCCAAATGCATATGTCAACCATATTTGTAGAGCATGGTGTAAGTGCTTATGAATATACCACAATACCCAAGCCAATGAAAACTCTTGAATTTGCATTATCCAATGATCCAGTTTTTAATAATGTGGTATATTTTTTTTGCAGTCAAAATCCCTCAGATAATCAAAATTCTACAAGCTTCTAGTGTGGAAGGTCTGAGCTTATTGTCCATTCTTCTTGAGTTAGTAGCAACGACTACTACTGCAACATATAGTTTTGCTAAGGAATTCCCTTTCAGGTAAGTATATACTTATGTAGCAACATCAGGTTGTAAGAGAGTCTTTATTATTAGTCTATGAGCAGTCTGTCTTTTGGTCAGCAGAGAGCCTGTTCGTAGGCTATCTCTATCGGTAAAACAACACTTTATGCCTTCTACTTGTTCCTATGTTATTCTTAGGAGAAGCCTTTGCAGTCTACATGGTTTTGTTTTTTTAATTTAACAACTTTTTTTTATTTCTTTATTTTTATACATTGACAATAATATTACTGTTACAATCACATTTACTGGATGCATTTACACTAAAAACACAAAATAATTAAATAGATAAACAAATAACTAAATAAGAAATACTATAATGGTAAAACACTACAGTAAATAAATAAATAAATATATATATATCTGTAAGTAAATAAACAAATAAATAAATAGATACACTTAAAAAAATAGGCAAAATAAGTAAATGAATAAAGTGCAAGAGACAGGCTGAAAAAACTTTAAATTGATGCTCAGTTAAGGAGAGACTTTGTTTTGCCCCATTTTTGTAGTGCTTATGGCGCCTGTCATTTCTCTTGGCAATTTTTCTCTCTATGTGATAAACCAATTTGATCTTTCTATGAAAACTCTTAATGCTGGTTTAGTTTCGTTCAATTTACATTTATAAATAAATGATTTAGCAATGAGTATTAAGTGATTCAAAATAGCAAAGTCTTCATTGTGATTGATTAAACATGCCAAACAGAGTATTAATTAGTGTTAACATTTCCATAGATATGTTTTGTTTAATAATCCAAGGCGAGAATGCAAGTCAAAAGTTTTCTGTTATATTACAATGAAAGAGTAAATGTTGGAGGGATATTTGTATTCTTTCTGCTGAAACATGCTCAAAGGCAATTCAATCATTTTAAAATGGAACAACTTATTACTGGTGTATACAATATCGTTCAGTAATTTATATTGGAATCTCTGTGACGGGAAACAGTAACCCGTTTAGTCCAATCCCCTTCCATTGCAATAGAATGTTATTCATGTTGTTGCTCAGATTGTTTTTCTTTACATTTCAGTGCTTGGGGTGAAAGTTTGTTCATGTCAATCCAAACATGTCTCATGGTGGTCATGTACTTTTACTATACCAGCAGACCTTTGCCTGGTGTTGTTTTTCCTTTCCTGTATGGTGGCATTTGTTATGTGCTAGTGTCTGGCCTAACTCCAATGTCCTTCTTGGTTCAATTTGTTTCGCTGAACGTTGTCTTTCTAGTGATAAGTAGGGTGAGTATAGTTCCCTGAGCAATTTTGTTTGTCCATGTAATCTTACTCACTTGTACTCTTGAGTTGATACACTTATCAAGGATTTACAATTAATTGAGATTTTAGTTTCTGTTGTTTAAGGACGGTGCCTACTTAACTTTTGTTAGTGCACACATGTTTTGCACATCACGCAAGGCATGGTTTACCACCAAGCACTCGCTAAGGTTGGNTGATGCTTGTCGAAAAATTTGAATTAAACCCTAAAGAAGACCAATCTGGGCAGCGCTTCAACCTGCAGTACAGGCGGATTAGCGGGCTCTGGCACGATACGGCAGATTAGTGGGCTCTAGCGCGATACACGAGCGCGCGTGAAGTGTGAGGCGAGAAAAATCCGCCTGTAGTCACACCATTGTTTATGCTCTACCGCCCAGTTGAAATGATTGGCATGAAAGAATGATAGAGAACAAAGCAATTCAATTTACTGGAAAAATTCAATTTACTGAAAAAATGTCGCAAATAACCAATTTACAAATGTATACATGACGCAAAACAGTCAACAGACATGAACATCTAGATTTAGCTAAATTTAAATCATGCTGTGCCAAAATGAACAAAGGAGATATAAATTTAAACATCGAGCTCAGGAGATGAAAAACTCAAACAAATTCAGGATGGAAGAAACATAACTTTGACAACACAGAACGGATCTCTAAGACTACAGCAGTCTCTGGCAATGCCGGACAAAGCTAAATATGATCCGTGGTGAACAGCCATATAGCTTAACACAGTTTTGATTTAACAACCGGGCATGGCGTCACTATAGAATGCAAGTAATCAACATTGATGATCACTGACTTTGTCCCTCCAGAGCGAAAAATTAAAGAGATACATTTCTGCAATAAACATACATTTCTGCAATAGAAATGAGGCAAGACAAACCACACTACTCGGCACATGGCAAATTACAGAGGTGTCAAACTCTACAAAGCAACAGACAACAGCTGAAACTATGCAGAGCTCTGACCTCCAACAGTCCAACGGCTCTACTCTACTTTAAAAAAAATCATCCTGATAACACAACATTAAGTGCCCTTCAAAAACAAGAAGAGCAAAATAAAAGGTTGAGAGGCTGGAATTTATGAGAGAACGGCAAATGTAGAAATGTCTCGAGCCATAGGAGTCCATGTAGGCCCGTCACCCAAATCAAACACATTTTGTTTTTTCTTGCGTCTGACATTACGTGGCTTAAAGCAACCAATCAACAAAAACCGTTCGCCAGGCGAACGGTTGGAAGAGCATAAACAATTACGTGACTACAGGCCGATTTTTCTTGCCTTGCACTTTGCGCTCGTTCTTGCGCTTTGCGCACGCTCGTGTATTGCGCTAGAGCCCACTAATCTGCCTGTACTGCAGGTCAGCCTAAAAACGGAAATAAGGGAATTTGTTTAATTATTATTTCATCGTGTGGACCCTTAAGATACTTTGTCAGCTAAAACAAACGGCATTTTAGCATGAACAAGCTAAGTGAGACCAGAATCCTTGGTTGATACCCCTTAGCGAGATGATTAGCATCCCCGACCTTTTCATATGCCTTGGGTGCCCCCCCCCCCAGGGGTTAATCATGCTTTGAATGACTGAGTACCAGGTGTGAGAGAGGTGAACCTGTGAGAGTTCAGTGCCTTGTCCAAGAACACAAGTGTAATGATCTCAGCTGAACCTCTACATCTGGTGTCCTTTCATCAACCATTACGCCACTACACATGTCAGGTTACTAAGGTGTAGACTATTGCTTACATTTCATTTCTCTTATAGCTATTACAGATAGTCGCCAACTTCCGTAATGGCCACACAGGCCAGCTTTCATTCATCATGGTACTGATGCTGTTCCTAGGGGCAATGGCCCGCATCTTCACCACAATACAGGAGACTGGTGACAAAGTCATGCTGGTGACATTCCTTGTTTCTACAGCACTGAATGCAACCTTAGTCTGTCAAGTTCTCTACTACTGGAACGTCAAACCTGATGTGAAGAAGAAGGAAGCTTAGTCTTAGCTAGTCTTTCTTCTCTTAGTGTGTTTTTATTTTTTGATGATTTCTAGTGTAAGCATTGGTCTGCACAGTTGTGCAATTGACAAAGCATAAATTTCAAGCAAGTCTTGAAGAGCTTGAGAAATGTTTGCTCGATTTATAAGGGTGTGGGGGTTGGGGGCAATTATAACTAATTTATGAATCATAGTTTGGATGTGTGTAGTTGTTTCATAAATGTATTCTGTAGGTTTTGTCTTGTTATTCTTGTACAGAGTTGAAAAATTTGCCAGATCTCTGCTGTCAGTGGTTTCTTATAACATGAACTTGGAAGTTTAAAGCCTAATGAATAATCATAATGTAATTTACCTGCAACAGTCAAGGAAAAAGTTACTGTCTTTACTTGCATGTACTGCCACAAGTCAGAGTCAATCTAAAATACATAGGGTAAACAAAATTTAGGAAGGAGTGCATATTAGTGATGAGCTATTTTATTGCAATAAAATAATGTACCTGAGGTTTTTTGGGTGGTTTTTATTTTAAATAAAAGTGATGGTTCTCAAGTGTAATATTGGTGGTGTATTGTTACTTTTTGTTTTCACAAATTTTCCATATTCGAAAAGATCAACACATGACCAGTAGCACTAATGTTCTGGATTATTGCTGTCATGTTAAGTCCCAGGGGGATCCCCAGGGGGGTCCCCAGGGGGACCTCAGGGGGACTCCCATATAAAAAGGACAGTGGTGCTCATCGGAAATTTGGAAAAGCACTCCTAAGAGGTACCAAGATCCTGTTTTCTGGGTGTGGCTTGAAATATTTTTCACCCCTAAGAGATAACAGTTCTAAAAAAAACACATTATCTCCTCATTTATTTCTCGGCTCCATATCCTAAAAGGTAGCACAGAAGCTGCTGCTGTGGACCTTTTGAGGCTGGACACCTCAAGAGGTACCAATACTGCGTTTTTAACCCCTGAAAGTTACGTCTAGCACCCCCGCCCCCTGGGGTTAAGTCTGTGAAGGGATTATTGGGCAAACAATTGATTCTTTGGAATGACGGGATATTTGGATTGAGGATGAATGTGGGTTCTTTAATTTGGGGGAAGTTTTTTTCACAAGTAAATGTTGGACCCTTGTGCCAAAAACATAGTATAGCTACCTAAAGTAACCAAAATTTCCTTCAAAATATGCTCAAATCATTTCCCAAGAAATTGAAACATGATCTTCACGTACAAAGTAACCTTTTTCTTTTCAAAAAGAATACAAAATGGCTAATTCCATCTATGAGCATTGACTTAATCCATCAAGTCCTGACAAATCTATGAAGGTTTCAAATATGGGAAAGGAGATCTGGGACTTACGTTATTGTAGCTGTGAAAAGACCAGCCTGCTAGTCAATGAGGCGATGGCCTTGAAAACTTAAATTTATCTTGCTCTCGTTATTTTGCTTTTTGTCAGGAAGACATGATCAATTTGTGTGGACGGTCAGCTGTAATATTAACAGTAAGACAGCCAAATATTGCATGACACTTTCGATAGACAGGCAGAGGGTATCTCCATTCGATCCGATTTCCATCCCGTAATCAGCAGTTTAAAAATTCTATAGCTTTACCATTATAATTTAGGGAAAGTCAATTTATGGGAAAATGACAAAGACAGTCACAAGAATCAGAAGAAGTCTATTGTGCCTGTTTTCAGGTAACATTGAATTGTTCCATGCATTACTAAAAGTAGTAATCTTGAGTTTTCTGTCTTTGACATTTGAAAGACCGCATTCAGCGAACTTTAATTTTATGACTGGCTTCGCATAAATATTCCGTTAATAACTTGAAGATAAACTAAGCTGCCAGTCTTGAATGGAGGTCAAAATCTGTCCAAACAATGATGTGATGTCAACATCCGGTCGAGTATCCCATCGTACACTAACAGCGCAATCTAAGATCACGTGTCCAGAAGCATGATGTTTTCGAAAGTATGGCGGGGTAGTTCCTTGCAAGGTGAGACATTTTGGAATTTTTCTATTTTTATTTGCCCTTCTGTGGCTTGTTCTTATGTTGTTATAGGTAAGACTCATTCCGTCAAATTGAAAAGTAACTTGCAGACGTTAATGCAAGTGAGAGGAAGCGTTTTTAGAAGGCGAATTTGAGCACATGGCAATAACATTTTGAAACAGTTCATTAGTCTAAGCCAGTAAATCACCAGATTGTTCTTCCTTAACAAATAGTGTCCAAGAGCAAATAGCCAAATACATATTTTTGAACCCAGTTGGAAGCTCAATTGCAGGACTTTGATTAACGTCTTCTGCAGGAGGGCAACTGGTAACTTTATTTCCACAGGCAGGCAAAACTTTTTGAACTGAACTTCTTTAGAAGGAAAACCTTCCTCTAGATAGTCAAACCAGGCAGGCAAAATCATTCTTACAGCTGGTCAATTTGCCTGGTGCCTGGTCCGTAATGAAACTCCCTGTGAATTTGTTGATCGATGTTATCTTTCTAAGAGGGGGGCATTGGGGTATATTAGAAACCGCAAGACTGAAGAAAAATCATCCAAAACCGCAAAACTGCCAAAAAAAACTTGCCCAAAACCGAAAACCCCATACAAAACCGTCAAAAACCGATACAATGGTGACAAGTGGGGCATACAGGGCAAACTACACTATCAAAGTATTTGTGAATGCCATGGACGTGTCTGAAGCCTTCGTATCTTTTAGTAGCTTTTAGCTTCTGCAGGCTTCTCTCTTCTCTCTTCACTTTACATCTAAACGTGTTTTCCTTTCGAAAATTCTCGTCACCTTGCCCCTCCTTGTAAAAAAAATGCAACACAATCCACAATTGCTTCTTCCATTGCTGGCGCAGGAGGCACATTGGAAACTGACCAAATAATCGCCCTGGTCTGTGAGGTCAAAGTCTTGGGTGTCATTCCAGACGTGTGATCCCCTACTGTGACATTTAGTTCGTCATGCATTCCTCTCAAGAGCTTTGGCGTTTTGCAGCTATTCGAGATCAATTGCCACTCAAATCAAAGAGAAACTGGAACCCAAATAGGACAAAATAGGAAAAACCAAAAGCCACATCAGATACCAAAACTGAAAAACTGCTAGTATTTTTTACGAAAACCGAAAACCAGATGCTAAAAAATGAAAAATCTGCAAACCGTAATGAACACCAAAACCGAAAAACCAAAGTCTTTTGGCACAAAAACCAAAAAACTGATCTAAAAAATAGCCAAAACCGCAAAACCGAAAATCCCAATGCACCCCTCTTCTAATCAAATTCTTATAAATCCCTGAATACAGGTTCAGTTTTAGACTAGCCCTATATTATATTCATAATATTACTATTAGTAATCATAGTTACAGAGTGTGTTCATGTGGCTGCAGTCTGATGGGGAATGTTATAATAATTATTAATAAGCAATTATTGCTATGTGCTTTGTTGTGTATGAAGTGTTGACTTCTAGAGAGTAAATTATAAGTTAAGATCTTTAGGATATGACCTTATTAATTCTTTGACTCATAACATTAGTAAAATCACGTTGTAACCCAAAATCTTACCATTTATCGTCAAGCGCAGCCAAAATGACAACACAGGAATCATACATAAATAAGTTTTTGCTCTAAGTCTCTTGAATAACATTTTGGCTGACAATTACTTTGAGAAAAAGAGAATTTTTTGACAGCCAATGACCCCCACACCATTAATACCGGTACTCTCTCCATTTTAACAGCAAAAATTATCTTCAAACACACGGTACCACAATGGATACAAAAATTGCAGTCTCTTTTGCCAACATTTTCATGGCCGTGGTAGAAACAGAAATCATTAACTGCAGCCACTTAAAGCTGCTCACTTGGAAAAGATATATCAATGATGTCTTTTCTCTATGGAACATAAACAAGGAGGAAATAAACACGTTTATAGAGCTAGCAAATAGCTATCATCCGACCATAAAATTCACAGCTGAAATTTCAGATACAGAAATAACTTTCCTGGATACATGCGTCTATAAGGGCAAAAGATTTAAGAAGGAATCCATTCTCGACATGCGCATGCACTTCAAACCGACAGAAACTTTCCAATACACACACTTCACCTCCTGCCACCCTCCAGGCATCAGGAAGGGCTTTATTAAAGGTGAAGCCTTAAGACTTCTGAGAACCAACTCTTCAAAAGCTACATTTGAAGAAAACGTTACACAATTCAAACACAGATTACATGACAGAGGTTATCCAGATAACCTTTTAGAAAACACTCTCTCAGAAATTAAATTTAGCAAAAGAATGTCAGCTCTACAAAATAAACAAAAAACGTGCAAAAGAATTTTACTGTTTGTTACAGAATATCGCCCATCTGTACCTAATCTTAAAAACATTCTTATGAGTAAATGGCATTTAATACAAAATTAGCCTCTGCTAAGAGAGATCTATAGAGACCCCCCTGCTTTCATACAGAAAAGGGAGATCTTTGAAAAACGTACTTGTTAGAACAGAGCTTTGAAGGTCAAAGTTTTCCTATCTTGACCTATAGGAATCGTGTTTGGCCTGTCATTCATTTTTATCAGCATACCTATTTGACACATAAACAGTGCAAGATCACATGATTGTGTCCAAGTATCCAATTTCGACTTTTGGTATTTGGATAAAATTAATTGTCAGGTGAGGTGTAAGTAGATGGCTGAAGATTGGCTAGAAGCCAGCTGTTTTGGCTGGCTAGCAGCCCTTATTGACAGCCCTGTAGTAGAAACAGTTTCTCAGCAGTTTGTCTGTCGGATAGGCAGATTCTAGTTGCATGGCGGTTATATAAGCCTTATTTATCTCCCCAGTATTCACATCCTGCATTCAGTTGACAAGATTATTGGTAAAGCAAATTATTGGGCAGGTCTGTGCTCTAGAAGTGCACAAGTGCCACAGGCGACTAACTTTTGCCTTTGGGCAACTAACAGAACTCAATTTTTTTATATAAGCTAAAGTACTGGGCATCCAGGATTTCATGGTTATAGGAACCTTAGAGCTCCTCGTAATAATATTTTTCTTACACCACAGCCTTCATTGGGGGAACCTATTGAGTAGTTGTTGCTATCTGCTTGCTATAAACAAAGTTTGCCCTGTCCTGTTCCACTATTCATCTTAAGACTGCAGCCTGTTGTTTCATATTTGCAGTTTTTCCAGTGCTTAGAAGTCTTGAATACTTTTGAAACCTTTCCTATTTCTTAACAGATAGAAAACAAAGAAGCACCAAATTAGCCTACCTGCCAGGACTTATATGGAAAAAATTCACTTTGAGACATTTAGATCCCATATGAGGTATGTGAGTCATGATTTCTCTGTGTTTGGTTGGAGTGGTTATTAATATTATTACTTTTGCTACCTGTACTGGGAATAATAACACACAATGCAGGCAGAAATGAAATGAACGGGGAAGTGGTTGTTTCAATGTTGTTCAGCTATTTCAAGAATCTTTCGTAACAGGTATGCGAGTCACAAGATAACCTAGCTGTGCTTGGGGCACTCATGTTGATGAAGGAGGGAGGGAGGCACCAATTTCTTTCCACTGTGTGTATATTCAGTACTACTTTGACCACTTCATAATTTGTCCTTGTTGCGCCATGGGACTCACAAGGTCTTTCCTTAACCATTTAGCTTTATGCTATTAGTTATAGTTCGTTATTGTAGAAATTGAAGAGACACGGTGGTCTAATGGTTAGGGCAATGGACTACACATCAAGCAGTCTTTGGTTTGTTCTTGGGCAAGGCACTTTACTCGTGCAGTGTCTCTCACCAATCAGGTGTACAGTTGGTACTTAGTGAATTCAATGCTGGGGGCTGACCCTGCAACAGACTAGCATCCCATCCAGGGGGTGGGGAAGAGGAGAAATACTTTTTATCACTTTATGCTTCCAAAACCAGCATAGGCTGTGGTGTTTTGGATCACTTAGCCTGACACAGATTCTGCCTCTTCCCTAATAGGGTTGAAACTTTAAAAAAAAAATAACCTGAAGACTTATTTTTAATAGTGTAGTTTGTAAAACTTAAGCAGGGGTTCCATTAAGGGCCGGGCAGCAGGCAAATTGACTGGCTGTGGAGATGATTTTGCTTGACTGGTTTGACCATCTAGAGGAAAGTTTTTCTTACAAAAAAGTTCAGTTCAAATAGTTTTGCCCGCCTGAGAAAACCAGTTGCCCTCGTGCTAAAAATGTTAATGAAACTCCTGCTTAAGAGATTAAGGGTGTCATTAAGGTTAAAACATTTCCTGTTTCTTACTAGATACAAAACAGAGAAGCAACAATGAAAGTATGTGCTGAGACTTGAGAGGAGAAAGAATCATGTTGAAACACTGGATTCTATAATAAGTGAGTCAATTTCTTTGTGTTTGGTTTCATGTTCTAGGCATGACAGTGCACAATGCAGGTGGGAAATTTTAAACAAGTTTATGTTTGACTTTCACTGTTCAGTTATTTCAAGAAATGGCAAGTTATGTGGCAATACTACACCTTAGCCCTTCAAGGTTAGGGTTTACAAAAATTCCTTGGGTGGCATTATTTTGGATGAGTATTCTTTTATGGCAGGAGGGACACAGTAATCTAATGTTGAGCACAGTGGACTGCAGATCAACAAGTCTGGGTTTGAGCCACTGGTTAGGGTCTCTGTGTTTTGTTCTTGGCAAAACACTCTGCTCTCACACTACCTCTTCAGTGTTTTTGCCAGACCCCGCCATTGTGGGAATCCCACGTTGCAATCAGATATGGCCTCTAGAAAAACAAAAATGGGCCAATTTGGCCCTTCCCTTTTACAAGGCTGTAGGCTTAACACAGGCATACAATTTTAAAAGCCATCCCAGGGCTTGAAATTGTGGCCAATACGGTTGCCAACGAGACTGACATTTCATTCTCTTGACGATCAATAATGGTTATTTTGTCACACATTATGTCCTTCTAGAAAATCATATTGAAAATCTTTGCTTCTAAAACATTCAACATAAGACAAGAAGTCAATTATCCATCCTTTTGCTTTCCTGTAATGATTCTCTCACATTGGAAAACTTCCAAATGGCTGACCATGTTTGAAGTCGCCCTTTAACGCATTGCAAACCCTTGATCATTGACTGATCATTGACTAAGTCATGTATGCCTATGGATTGTTCTCTTGTAATGCATGGATCCATCATACTAGTATCTGGCGACCAAAAAATTGCATTTATTATTTATTGACCCCTTCCCTAAAAGAGTAGCCCCTAAAAAGGTCTTCGGGGGCCACTGTGGCCCTCAAGTAAAATTTTCTGGCTGAAACACAGTGTCTTTCCATCTATTTGTACAAACAGGTACTGGGGTTAGTACCTGGGTGCTGACCCTGCTACAGACTTGCATTTTATCCCATCTCATCATTGTCAAACCTTGCCCCTGCAGGGTTGAAACTCTGACTAATTTTTTAAATTGTGTAGTGCTGAGAAACAGAGAATCTCATTCAAGGGGAAGAGTAGAACACTCAATATCCCTTAATGCAACAGAGACTGGGTTAAGTTGTGGTGGTTTAGATCATGTGGCCGCCTGATGCAGACTTAACCTTACTTTCATAGTCCAAACTCATCCTAGTAGGGTTAAAACTTTAAAAATCTGATGACTTATTTTTAATCGTCTAGTGTGTAAAACTTAAGAGTTCAAGGCTGTTATATCAAGGTTATTAAAACAGTTCCCATTTCTTACTAGATACAAACCAGAAAGCTGTGTGCTGAGAATCATGTGGAGAAAGACTCATATTAAGGCAGTAGATTCCATATCAGGTGAGCATTTGGTTGGAGGGGTCATCTGTGAGTTACTCAATGTTACCTGTACAAGGAATAATAGCACACAATGCAGGCAGAGAATTCAAACAATAGAGATGTTCAGCCATTCAGGGATCCATATTGGTTTTTTCTCAGCCAGGCAAGTATGTCAGATGACATATTTGCCATGGTAAAATTTTATTTGCCCCTTCAATAGGGAAGAATGGTATCAGAATAGCATGTAAAGGAAAAGTTGATGTTAAATTTGTATGTTTTTCACATGACCAGTTTTCCAGTACATCATGTCTGTAGTTGTGGCTGTCGGTGGACACAGACAATCCAAGTTCGAATGAAAACCAAGGCCTCTTTGACCGCCATGAAGACTGAGAGGACCACTTTCACTCTTCCTGCCTGTATTTGACTTGTTTTTCCAAAGTGTTAACATTACTAAATGCCATGTCCTGATCAAGACAGCTGATGCGATCACACCTTGTGTTTTCGCAGATGCAGATGCAGATGCAGATGCAGTGCGGAGCATCAGTAGTTGACAAAATGAAAATTGAACCTGCAATAATTTCATTTGTGGAGAATACCACATCATCCAAGATACAATGTAGCAGACCAAATTGATGATTTTATTGCAAAAGCAAGCTGTAGGTTTTTCTAGAGCTGTTTTTTAAAAGTTCCAAATGGATGACAAGTGGTCAGAATGCAGTGCACTCATAAGCAAATTTAAGAACTGCCTTTATTCCGGTAGAGTCAAACTTAACTCATTTAGCAGATGCATTTTCCTATTGTTTTGGTTGTCCCTAAAATTTTGTAGTTGTCAAGGATGGCCAGGTGACTGCAAATATGGATCCCTAGCTATTGTTAGTACTGGACTGTGTTCTTGGACATGACATGTTACTCTCACAGTGCCTCCCCCCATCCTGGTATACAAATGGGTACTTGGTGAATTTCATACTGGGGCTAACCCTGCAATAGGCAGGCACCCCATTTAAGCAGGGAGGGGAATAGAAAGATACTATATCAATTGATGCTACAGAAACTGTGATAAAATATGGTAGTTTGGATTACTTGGTCTGATATAGACTTTACCTCACCTTCATTGTCAAACTTCTCCTTGTAGGGTTGAAAATTTAAAAAAATGACTTCTTTGTAAAACTTAAGAGATCAAGGAATTCCCTAAACTAAGGTTAAAACATTTGCAGTTTCTTACTAGATACAAAACAAAGAAGCAAGGAAAAGAGCTATGTGCTGAGACTC